AAGATATAGTGTCTGGGGTCTTAAAGGCTTGAAGGTAAACAAGCAGCCATCTAGCTCAGAAGCAACAAAGCCCACAGGGAAGCAGCACACCAGCCTGTGTGATCACGAGGTGTTGAAGTGATCAGGTATCAGGCATCAAAGAACAAAAAAATCATTGTGAATGAGAGGAAGTGCAGATTGGGGATGAAAAGCCCATCTGTAGGCAACTGGACACCCCCTGACAGAAGGGTGGCAGGGAGGAGATAAGCCAGTCAGGGTGCAGCGTAGCAACAATGAAACATATACTTTCCTAGTTCTTAAATCCTCCCTTACCCTCGCCCCCACAATCATGATCCCAACTCTACCTTACAAATCAGGCTAGACCAGAGGAACTGGAAACACAGGGAATCCAGGATAGCTGATCCCTTTAGAACCAGTGGTGAGAATGGTGATACTGGGAGGGTGGAAGGAAGGTTGGGTAGAAAGGGGGAACTGATTACAAAGATCTACATATAGCACTCTCCCTGGGGGACATATAACAGAAAAGTGGGTGAAGGGAGCTGTCAGACAGTGTAAGATATGACAAAATAATGATTTATAAATTATCAAGGATTTATGAGGGAGTGGGGAGGGGGAAAATGAGGAGCTGATACCAAGGGCTCAAGTAGAAATCAAATGTTTGGAGAATGTGAGGGCAACAAATGTGTAAATGTGCTTGACACAATGGATGTATGGCTTGTGATAAGAATTGAATGAGCCCCCAATAAAATGATTTTTTAAAATTTCCCTCATTAAAGATGACACAATTTACACATTTTGTTTCATGTCATTCAATGCAATCCCCTCATTTGCACACACTTAAAAGCCATTGTAATTCTTTCACTCAAATTTTCACGTTCTGTCCTTTGCACTTTCAGTGTTGGGGTTGGGTTTTGCTCATGCCAACGGTGCCTGGGTCGCCATGAGCTGGCAGCAGCTTGGTGGCACACAGCAGCAGCTTGAGATGCTGCTCGGGTTTCCCTGTACCGAGTCCTTGGCTCTTGTGCACGAAGCAGCATTTCCCCTCAATTTGCCAGTTATCTTTTGACCTTGTGCTTTGGGTAGATTTTTTTCCTCTTATGTGCATGTAATTAAATTGATCAGTTCTTAAATTTGTAGTCTCTTGTCCACTCCCACCTCTGGCCCCCTTTGGTCAATGTCAGGAAGGCTTTTGTCTTCTGAAAATCTCAACAACAACAACAACACAATGTATTTCCCTTTAACTTAGTAAGTATAGTTTGAGATTCAATGTGTGCACATCTGAGCCACCGAGAATAAATGTGCCTGTAAGCTATGAAGAGGGGTCTGTCCCTATGTGAAACCTGTGAGAGCCAGCACTCCGTGGGGGGTGGGGGTTGCTTGTGTTTTCAGGTGTTAGAAGTTTTCAGTCTTTCCCAGGGTGCACTTGAACACTTCTATTTGCTTGAGTGGAAAATATTCTTCATTTTCCTTTTCTTACAATTTTCTCCCTCGCGCATGTCCTGGCTTTCATAGGCTTCCCTGTATTTATTTCCAACTCCACTGGGAGTTTGCCACTATCTATTAAGTAATCAGAGTCCCAGCAAGGTGTAAGCAGTGACAACAGTGGGCTCTTGAATGAAGCCTGGAGTCTGCCCCCTGGTACCTCAGAAGAAAGGACTGGTGCTCAGCTTCAAAAGATACCAGCCAAGTGGGGTGGACTTGAGGGTAACTGCTTTGGTTCTTACCGAATAATTCAGATTTCCCCTCTCGGTTAAGAGGAAAAAAAGACATCTTGATCATGTGCTAAGATTCCATGTGCATGTAGCTTTGTTTCTTAGGGCCGTCATCATATGTCTGTCCAAGAAGCTGTATGTCACTGCCTTAATTTGACTATGACTTTAGAGGATGTTTCAATGTTTGGAAGGAACTGACCCTGAGATTCTTTATTTTTTAATGTTTCATATCAGATTTGGGATCTGTTCGTCTAGTACTAAGGAAAAAATATCTGGTTGATATTTGTATTTAGATCTCATTAAATACATAGATTGGCTTACTTATAATGTTTGTTATCTCTTAGTAACAGTTTAAAGTTTTCTTTCTGTAAGTAAATCTTGAGAATCACTTGTTTGTTCCTAAGTGTTTTATCTTCTTTGTTGTTTTCAGCCACGAAAAACTTTCATTATCCTATTTTAAATGATTTTGTATTTTACAGAGAGTAACCATGGGTTTTTTGCAAACATAAATTTGTACCCAGTTATTATAATTAGTTTTGCAATGGCATTTCAGTTCCTCGTCGTATGTTTACCAGGTACTATTTTATCACTTGCAAGTCTGCCACCTTTAAATCGTTTTATGTCTCCTGTTGCTTTCTATTTTCTGGTTCTTGTTGAATAATAGTGGTAATGGATGGCCTTGTCTTATTTCTGGTATTAATGAGAATGGTTATAGTCTTTTATTAATGAAATAATTTGGACTTTTGCTTGAGAGATATGTTTTTTTCTAATTAAATAGCCATTCAACTATTCCTGGTCCAGTGAAGGTTCAAATATCAAGACTGAAGGCTGAACATTATCAAATGTATTTTCTGTACCGACTGGGTCTCACGATGTCGAATCATTATGGTGTTCATGATGCAATATGTAATACCATGCTAACTGGGTAGTGATTTTTAATATGATGCTAGGCCTTAGGTCAAAGAGTCCTGGTGGCAGAGTGGTTATACATTGAGCTGATAACTACCAGGTCGGCAGTTTGAAACTACTAGCCACTCTACAGGAGAAAGGTGAGGCTTTCTAATCCCTTAAAGAGTTGCAGTCTCAGAAAACCACCGGGGCCAATCTACCCTGTCCTGTAGGGCTGCCATGAGTCAGAATAGACTCGATGGCACTGTGCTGTTGCTGTTGTGTTGGGAACCTAAAGTGTTCAAAGGGATCCTTGTTGTTGTAGTGGATATGCGTTGGACTGTGATCCATATGGTCAGCAGTTCGAAACCACTAGCATGTCTGAGGGAGAAAGACTGGGCTTTCGACTCCCATAAACAGTTACAGTCTCAGAAACCCAAGGGGGGGTCGCCTGCAGTCAGCACTGACTCGCTGAGTGAGATGTGTTACAAGACTTCTACACTGACCTTTGGGAGACCGGTGTGTACACTTCCTGTTTTGTAGCATTTTCAGACAGGATTGACATCTTTTATCCCTCCTCTATGTTCAGGAAGAGGTGAGAAGTCATATCCAAGCTCTTACTCACTACACAAGCCTGACTGCTTCCCTTGTACGCACAAAGGCCATGTGCTCTATGCATAGAAACTTCCCGGGGCAGCGCTCCCTCCAATGGTCCTGGGAGAAGAGAGGCGAGGCTGAAGGAGAGGGAGGCTGGGCTCAAGCGGCAGCACATGTCCCATCCTTCCCTGTCCTTGCCTGTCTGTGTGTTGCTTGGTTTTCTAAATCCATCATGAAAGAAGCTCAGATTTCAGTTTCCAAGAGATTCTTATTCACCCAAATCACATTTGATATGAGGGTAGCAAGGAGCCTTGGAACCCCTGGGCCAGCCTCCTCCATTCCACAAAGACAGAGAAGGACCCCCAGAGGTAAGGGGCTGGCCCTGGGCTCACTGGTCACAGTGAGAGCTTTCAAGCTCACACTCCGTAACTCTGGCCTCTGCCCTTCCTGTGACTCAATCACTGGTCTCTCTGCCACCGGAAGGACACGTCTCTCACACACCCTTCCAGGTACCACTGAGTCCCTCCCACCCAGCTTTCCCAGGCACGTCTGACCTTAGGGATGACGTATGTTCTGAATTTCGTGTCCTTGGTCACAGAGTGGGGCAGATTACAAGGAAGGAGGGAGATGAATCTTTGTATCTCGTGCAACACGGCCTCCGTGTAGGGCAGCTTCGTCTTGTCCATCATACAGGGGCTTTGGTTGGGGCCAATCACCCGGTCAATTTCTTCATGCAGTTTGGCTGCAGAGATATGAGTCAAAAATGCCACTCAGGGGTCTGTTCCCTGGAGACCCAGAAAGGCTTTGCCCCGCACCCCAGAGAGGGGCCTGGAGAAGGGTCCCACAGGCAGTTCCTACCCAGCATGCTGCCTTGCTGCTGAGGGAATCTTCACTGTCTAGTTGGCTGCCAATAGAAGCCCCGTGGTGTAGTGTTTACATGTTGGGCTGCTAACTGCAGGGCCAGCAGTTCAAAACCACCAGCCACTCTGTGGGAGAAAGGTGGGGCTTTCTACTCCTGTGAAGAGTTCCTGTCGGAAACTCCCAGGGGCAGTTCTACCCTGCTCTAAGGGCCACTGTGGGTGGGCATCGACTCGGTGGCAGTGAGTTTGGCTGTTTTGGGTTGAGCGTTTTTTGGCTTAATAGGTTTGTTCTCTTGGACAGGTGAGGACCCAAGCGGCAGAGCTTTTGGCTTGTCCCCAGTTCTTGGCAAAGCCCCTGTAGAGAGACAGTGTTGAACCCTCACTCTGGTAGGAGTCCTATCTGTCAGCCGTACACTGTCCTACGTGTTTCAGAGGGCTGGCAGGTCCTGGTTTTTTTTTTAGGTACAACAGGCACTGGCTCCTCGGGGCCTGAGTTCTGAAAGTAATGTTGGAGAAAATCGAATGAACACAAATTCAAAAAGCTTTGAATTTCAAGGTCAATTGGCGCTATAAATCTCGCTTGGGGAGCCAGATCCATTGTCAAGATGGGAAAACATAGGCCTGCAGGTAAAATAATGTGTTAAAAGCCACTGTCAGGTGGTGGCAGGCAGAAAATGAGAAGTGTCCCTCATCTAATTCAGGTTCCTTCTTTGGCTTTGCATCTCATAAATAAGATGTGGAATTCAGAAGCTCCCTCTGTTTCTGAGCTTCATTAAGAGTTGAGTTCTCAAAAGACTCCTCTATCCTATCAACACCATCATGGGATTCTGCTCTATAAAAATAAAACCACAGTGAACGGCCCTTTGCTTGGGGTTCTGCACGGCATCCCAGAGAAAGAGCAGCAGATACCGGCCTGTGTCTCCCCTCCGCTCTCCAGGGCCCTGACCCCATCCTTCCATGGCTCTTAGGGTGTTTGATGTACCTTCCACGGCAGGGTGTTTCATTAGCAGCAGGAGCCCGAATCTCAGGGTGCTACTCGTTGTCTCTGTTCCCCCCACAAACAAATTAGATCCACAAGCTGCCAAGTTCCTCAAGTTAAATTCAGATGCCGGATTGTCTTTCTCCTGAAAGTGGAAGAGTTCATGGCCACATGAGTTAAAGACACTTCGACTCCTTTACTTTGGAGGAGATGGACTGGCTCAGCAGCCACAATCACGGCTTCACAAACCTCAGGATGATGGCACAGAACTAGCCAACACCTTCTGCCACACATCAAGTTGGCATGAGTCAGCGCTGACATGGCGGTCACTAGCAACAACATTATTAGTGACAACAGCATCTGCTGTCGCTATGAGATACCAAAATAATCAAGAATTGCCTACGTGGTGTAGTTATGCTTACGTGTTGTACTTGCACGGAATGAGGAGGTAGGGTACCTGGGGCTGACAGCACAGAGTGTACCTGCTCCATCTTGTTCAAGAAACAATCAATGTAGTCCCGAGGGTGGTTCGGATCGAGGGACTCTTGATGCTCCTTGACTTTCTCCATGATAAAATTTCTCATGTCCTGAGTTCTTCTTAAGAATGCTCTGTGCTCTCCAGGAAGATGTTTTATGAGTGTTGGCCAGAGATTATACAACTGAAAATAAGGTAAAGTGTATATGTGTGTATACCCACACACACATGCGCGCGCACGCGCATGCGCGCGCGCGCGCACACACACACACACACACGAAATTCAGTTTGTGAGAGGAGACCAGCATTTGGAATGGAACGCCTAACCCTCTGAGCTATCTGACCAAGCAGCATCCTTTCCCCAGCTTTCATAAAGAAGAGGGAATCTAAGCCTCCCATGCAACAGAGCAGCCTTTCCCATCTGCTTGCTCGGGTCTCCTTTGCCTGGCCACAGCGGAGAATAGGAGTTTAGGGTCCTTACAAGAACCCTGAGAGCAGAATGTGCTGCCTTCTTTTGTCTGAGTAAACCCATGGTGGGAGGCAGAGGGCAACCTGGCCTCGATGCTGGGCTAAGTGATGCTGACTCATCCATCTGGCCAAGACTGAGGGAAAGTGGCCTGCCCACGTTGGCACTTGGTCCATGGAGTGGGTCAGCACTCCTCACCCCTCACCCTGAAGGCATTCTGAGTCAGGAAGAGAACCCCAAGTGCAGAGACCGTCTCAGCCTCACCTGGATCGATCGAGAGTTGAGGCGCCTGAAATTTTCATTTAGCAAATTCATCAGGTACAGGAACCTCTCATCAGTGTACTGGAAACGCTCGTTGAAGAGGACGGAGCAGATCACATTACACGGAGCACAGGAGAAGATGAAGGAGGGGTCAAAGGGCTGGGCTGGTGGAAGAAAAGAACAGCTCTGACCTGGAGAAAGGGGAGCACCCTGCAGTGTCATTCCAAGCACAAGACCTCTTCTGCTCCGGGGCAGACACAGTCACGGCTATGTACGATTGGACTGCTCCTGAGACAGACCACAGTGCTCCACGAGGACACGTGACGATACACTTCAACTCACAGCGGCTCCACGTGTGTCAGAGCAGGACTGTGACCCGTGGGGAGTGTAATGGCTGACTTTGGGGAGAGTTTTCAGGCCTTTAGTTCGTAGGCGAGCACATTAAGCACCTGCACCACCTAGGACTTCATGATCTACTAACAGCAGCCGTCATGTGATGCAGTGTTTACCACAGGCTGGGTCTTATGTAGCAGCCCTGGCAATGTGGCGGGCTGCTGTCTGTAAGCCCCGAAGTTCAAATCCACCAGTCCGCACCATGGGAGAAAGATGGGCTTTTTACTCTCGGAAAAACAGTAACAGACTCAGAAACCACAGGGGCCGTTCTCCCCTGTCCTACAGAGGCGCTGTAAGTGACATTGGGGTGAAGGCGGTGAACTTTGGAGTATTATGGACACGTGTTCTATTATTCAGTCCTCGTCCTGAGGTTTGACTTGTAGCCCTATTTTTTTAGGGTGAGGAAAATGTCCTAGCGGAGCTAAGTTCCATGTCTGAATGTCTGGACTCGTGGTGCGCAGGGAGCCCTGGGCACACAGTGTATAAAGCTGGAGGTTGCTAACCAAGAGGTGGGTAGTGAGGACACCCACCAGCCTCTCCCTAGAGGGAGCTGTGCGGTCGGCTTCCATCCAGAGTGACATCCTGGAGACGCTGTGGAACAGTGATGCTCTGTCCCCCAGGCAGCTGTGCGGTGGAATGGCCTCTCCAGGGGTGGGACTGGGTTTGGTTTGGTAAGAGCCCCATTGGGACATCAACCAAGACAAAGGGATACCAGAGTCCCGACTCATTATCTGCCCCACTCCTTTCTCCTCACTAACTCCCTGCATCAGAGCAGATCCTGGCCTGGGACACTCAATGGTGCCGCCGATTCTGACTCGGCCAGCATAGAACCGCCCCTGCGGGTCTCCAAGACTGGATCTTTCCTGGAGTAGAAAGAGGCGGCTTTCTCCTGAGGAGCAGCTGGTGGTTTCAAACTGCTGACTTTGCTCGTTAGCAGCTGTGGTTGATATATAATCGTTTGTCAATTTGAGGATTAGGAGTGTAGGGGTGGAGTCCAGTTTATCAATCAGATCATAGCCAATGAGGCCTCTGTGTGGGCATGGCCTTCTCCTGCCAATTCTGGGAAATCCAGTTTTTCCTCCTTGGAGGCAGGAAAGACTCTCTCACTGCTTCACACCCTGGGAGACATAGCACCTGACAAGACACATGAACCCACCATGGTGTAGCCCAGGGTATTGGAGAAGCCATGCAGAGACCCCTGCCAGAGCTGAGATGTTTCCATTGACACTGGTCCAAAGACGTTCTACCCTCTCGCCTGTCATTGCATGTGTTTCGTGAGTCTGAAGAGGACTTTATATAGATTGGTATGGGACATATGGGATAATATCAGACTTAGGGTTTTGATCTGGACTGGGCTGGGCTGTTTTCTCAATGTTCAGTTGCTCTTGTATATAAATCTCTTTCTTATGTACATGTGAGTATCTCTATGAATGTGTTTCTCTAGTCTACCTGGACTAACACAGCAGACACAGCTCCTAAGTGCCTCCCCGAGGAGGAGCGTGTAGGTCAGTGTGGGGGAACATCCTGGCTCCCAAAGGTCTGCTGAGTGAGACTCACCCTTTGTTTTCCGGAGCTCCTCCACAAGGCACCGGGCTTCCTCCTGGATCCTCTCCTCGATGCTCCTCTTCCCCATTCCAAAGTTCCTCAGGGTCAGGAGGGAGAAGCGCCGCATGTGCTTCCACCTCTCTCCTTGACTGAAAAGGATTCCTAGGGGGAAAGAGCAGAGAACCAGAAAGCACTTTGGGTCCTAGAGCCCGAGTTCCCAAGGGCCCATCTCGTGTGTCTACCTGGGTTCCCCCAGGGCCCTTATCTGGCAATTCAAGGGCAGGTGTGTTCTGTGGTTTGGACCAAGTCTGTGATACAGAAAAGCAAAGCCAAGCTCTGGTCACAACGTGGACGGATGGTAGCATTGGACAGGGGGACCATTGGCATGCGGAGCGCATTCCCACACATGGCTTTGTTCCTTCCATCTGGCTGTGTGAAAGGTCAGTACAAATGGCAGGTGAGCTCACAACACCCCTCCCCCTGGGCTCTGGTTTTACACCTCTTTTCTCTCTCTCTCTCTCTCTCTCTCTCTCTCTCTCTCTCGGAGGATTTGGTTTCACAGGTGATCTGCGATCTTCTCACTAAACTCACCACACGGTTTTGCATCCTCAATTTGCTCCTGGCTCACAATTTTGTCCCTGCCCTATTTCCTTCTTTGAGTTTCTGGCTCTCCTTTCAGACCCATTTCTAAAAGCTTCTCTTGGAAGCCTTCTTGGGACTCTTTTGAAGGAGGGAATCTTCCTTTAACTTTTTTCCTCTATATCTTTTAATGTCTCCGTGCCATTTCTCTTTTCTACCCTGAATTACCATAATTTTTGTCCTGCTGTTGTTTCTCCTCAGAGGTTTTGGTCTCCTGTGGTTAGGTATATGACTCACCTCTCCAAATATTCCCTGGGAATCAGGACCCTTTACCTTGTGCCTAGTTCAACATGTAATGAGTTAAGTATTCATTTTGCATCTACTAAATCAATGAGCATTTAAAAAGTATAGCAATTTTCATAGCAGGCATCACAGAACAAAAAAAATCATATCATTGTGGATGACGGGGAGTGCAGAGTGGAGACCCAATGCTCATCTGTCGACAACTGGACATCCCGTTACAGAAGGGTCTCGGGGAGCCGAGGAACCAGTCAGGGTGCAATATAGCACCAATGAAACATACAACTTTCCTTTAGTTCTTTAATGCTTCCTTCTGCCCACCCCAACATTATCCCAGTTCTACCTTACAAATCTGGATAGACTAGATGATGTACACTGGTACAGATAAGAGCTGGAAACACAGGGAATCCACAACAGATAAACCCCACAGGACCAATAATGAGAGTAGCAATACCAGGAGGATAAGGGAAAGGTGGGGGAGGTAGGGGGCACCGATCACAATGATCTACATTTAACCCCTCCCTTGGAGATGGAAAGCAGAAGAGTGGGTGAGTGGAGACATCAGATGGTGTAAGACATGATAAAATAATAAAAATTATAAATTACCAAGGGTTCATGAGCGAGGGACGGTGGGGGAGGGAGGGGGGAAATGAGGAGCTGATACTGAGGGCTCAAGTTAGAAAGAAAATTTTTGAGAATTATGATGGCAACAAATGTATAAATTGCTTGACACAATGATGTGCATATGGATTGTGATAAGAGTTGTAGGAGCCCCCAATAAAATGATTAAAAATGGTGTCAATTTTCCACACTCCTACATATTTTGGAAATTGAAAGAGTACTTAGTGAAAATGATCAAAACCCTCTTTAACTCATTGATTTCTCTTTGAGGACTTATAGAAAGAAATAGATCTACAAAGGTATAAAGATGGATACTGCAATGCTATCCTTACCAATTTAAGAAAATTGTAAGCGATGCAGACAATAATAATAGGGCAATTATTTGCACAGTTACAGTAAATCAGCATTAAAAAAAATCAAACCCACTGCCCTGAAGTTGGTGCCAGTCCACAGTGAGTCTATAGGACAGAGCAGGACTGCCTCACAGGGCTTCCCAGGCTGTGTCTGTGGGCGGAAGCAGACCACCACATCGTCCGCCCTCAGACAAGCTGGTGGGGTCAAACCGTCCACCTTCCAGTTAATAGGCAAGTGCCATTGAACCACCAGGGCTCCTCAGTCAACACTTTCAAAACCTTTTGAATTGATTCTGACTCCTGGCGACTCTACAGAGCAGAGCAGAGCTGCTGCCCAGGGTTTCCAAGGCTGTAATGCTCATGGGCGTAAACGGACTCATCTGTCTACCATGGATCGACTTGTGGGTTTGAACCACCAACCTACCAATTGACAACACAGTGCTCAGCCCCTGGTACACCCAGGGCTCCCCCACATCAGCATTAGTCATCAACAAACTAAGCAGCCGGTAAAATGATGATTCTGAAAACGGTGTAGAAATATACAAAATGACAGGCGTATCCTAAAAGAGATCAGTTTGCACACATTTCGGTGTACTAGGACTACAGCTGTGTAAGATGTATGGCAACATGGGAAGATGATACATACATAGAGCTGTGTGCAGTGTGTTGTAGCAGAATACTTAATGCTTGTGGCCTCTACACTTAGACAGTGCATTCAAATCTCTGCTCCCAGACTTTCTATGATGGGCAACTCTGTTTATTCCTGTTGCCTCAGCTTCTGCATCTGTGTGGAAATTAAAAGGAGTATATTCTTCATGGGACCACTGCATTGACTATATACAATAATGTCTATAAAACATTCTATTACGTATCTGGCATATAAAAATACTCAATGAATGTTAATGGTATAATCATAGCTATTGTTATTGTGATGTTTAGGGGTAGTTTTTACAAAAAATATAACAAGCATTTTGTTATATTCAGAAATTCTGTGGGTCAGTAATTTGGCCAGGGCTCAGCTGGGATGGTTAATCTCTCCTGCACACGGTCCAGAGCCTACCTTGGGAAGCTTACGGTTATGTGACAGCTTGGTTGGGCCATGATTCTCTAGTTTGGGAGTCATGAGACAGCTTGACAGTTATCACTCCATGATGTAACCATCTCCAGGATAAGATTTGCTATGAACTGCCAATCAGTTGACATGGAGTTTCCTCAGTAGGGTGGCCTGCATCCAACATGAGGGGACACTTAAAAGTTAATGGAAAAGTGGAATTAAAAGCATGGAATTTCCCCACCAACGTGTGAAGTCCCTTCCTATATGTGAACTCTGGCAAAGTCCACCAGCCTTTTGCTCGATCTAAATCCGCATCTGGCCCATCATCTGACAGCTGGGTTTTGAGACTTGAGACGGTGGCTGATTGTATTGCCCACCAATGTCGGGGCGGATCCGCCTCGAAGGCCCATGAGCCAGCAGCCTGCTGCCTGACCTGCCGATCTAGGTTCATGCACTCGTTGCAGAGACAGGTTCACGCAGGCTTTCTTTGCAGTAAACCTGTGCATCCCTGAACCGGGACTCCAGCTGCGATGCCTTTTTATTTACCCTGTGACACATAGTATGTACATATAGCATCAGTTTCTTAGTTACATGAGTGCGTGTCCAGAGCCTTGGTGGCTTAATAGTTACACATTGGGCTGTTAAGCACAAGGTCAGCAGTTTGAAATTCCCAGCCACTCCTTGGGCAAAAGACAAAATGTTCTACTCTTGAAAATATTTAGTCTTGGAAACCCACAGGGGCAGTTCTACCTTGTCGATGTGAGTTGGAATTGAGAGAGAGAGAGAGAGAGAGACTAGTTTTGCTCCTCTAGAGAACTGATCCTAAGACAAAAGGCTTGCTTGAATAGCTGGGAGTGATTTGATTGGCTGGAAGGTAGAAACATCGGGAAACGCGTCTGGCACTGGGATTGTTATGACTCAAAGCCTGGGCCCAGCTGAGGCAGTTGATTGGATCATCTCCACGTGGCCTCTCCTGTGACTTGGGGCTCCCCACACCAGGACAGCTGGGTTCCAAGCAAGAGTATCTGGAAAACGTGGCAGCTTCTGTGAGCTCTCTTGGAAAGTTCACTCTCTAAGCCAGTGGTTCTCATCCTTCGTTATGCCACGACCCTTTTATACAGTTCCTCTGTTATGGTGACCCTCAACCATAAAATTATTTTCATTTCTACTTCATAACTGTAATTTTCCTATTGTTATGAATTGGGCAACCTCTGTAAATGGGTCCTTTGAGCCCCAAGGGGTCACGACCCACAGGTCGAGAACTGCTGATCTAGATGCACCCTTGTGGGTTGCCAAGTGAATGCAGTCCAAGCCACATGGACAGGCTACATGTCGTCCTTCCCATTGACAGCCTCAGCTGAGCTCAGCCCTTGGGTCAGCCCAGGCCAGAAGCCAGACTTGTCAGTTGAGAAGCCTGCACATGGCTTCGGCCCTCAGTAGTCTGAATCACACTCAGCTGTTCAATTTGGGAAGAGTGTGAGCAGAGAAAGGCGATTTCCCCTGATGGAATTCCCAACCCATAGAATGTGGGAGCACAGCACAATGGTTGCTGAGGAAGACCACGGAGTCTGGGAGGGGTCGTAATGAAACGATGGATCTGAGCACATTCTCCTCGGTTTTATGTCACACAGTGTTCGGAATCCGTACTTCCTCTGTGAAAAGGCATTTCACAGTTAGGGACTGCTCTGTTCCCCACCTGATTCTCCATAGGCCTGAGCGCTTTCAGGGCAGCGCCCCCACACCCCAGTGCTTTATGTGAGTGCACGGGTGGGTTGTCACTTACATCACGTGGTGTTCACACTCCTTTAGATTTCCTCATGTTGTGTTGTTCTACGGAGCCATCGAGTCAGTTCTGATTCACGGTGACCCTGCATACAACAGAACAGAGACCCTCTCCCCGTCCCGGTCCTGCGCCATCCTCACAGTGGTTCTTCTGTTTGAGCCCAGTGTTGCAGCCGCTGGGTCAATGCGTCTTGGGGAGGGTCTACCTCCTTCTCACTGCCTCTCTCCTTTCCAAGCATGATGTCCTTCTCCAGGGACTGGTCTCTCCTGAGAACATGTCCGAAGCACATGGGATAAGTCTCATCATCCTTGCCTCTTAGAAATCTTCTGGCTGTTCTTACCCCAAACCTACGTGACTCTGCTTTGGGCAGTCCAGAGCGCTTCATGCTCCTCATCCGCACATCGCTCAAACGCATCCATCTGTTTGGTCCTCCTCATCCCAGGTCCAACTTACTCGTGTGTATGATGTCAAC